ATGCAACAAAATAAAAGAAAATAAAAGAAAGAAAAAACTAAAAAAAATATATAAAATTGTAGATATGTATACAAAGCATGAGAGAGAAAAAGAGAAATTAGCTAATATTCATCTTAATAGTTGTAACTATGGAGAGAACTATAGTTGAGAAATGTCAGATGTGTGTAATATCTATAAAATACGACAAGAAGGGTTTTGAAAATTTCTTACACGCATTTGTCTTACTAAGACATTTGGACGGTTCAGATCTGTTCAAATTACAAAACAACGACTGTGATTTCTCGCTTCTCTCTCTTACTTTTTCCTTTTCTCACTCACCCTCCCATGATCTCATGAATAATCCCATGAATGATCTCATAATCACACCATCCTCATTTTCTTTTTATTTTTTTAATTTTCACCCCTTTTTTATTTTCCTCCTTATTTATTTAATTTTTTTCTCTTTTTTGTTCACTTATTTTTATTTACACTGTGCCTTTAGGCACGAGTATACACTACTATTATATAAGAGAGAAGGAAAGATCATTCATCTCCTATATGAGAGATACTATTTATTTTTCTCATTCTCATTAAATGAAAATATGAAGAAAAACAGTGAAGGAAAATAAAAAGACAATAAAGAGAAAGTTAGCATGTAATGCCCCAAAATAAATATGATGAACCCATCTCATAAGCAGAAGTAAAATTGGAACAACATACTTTCATTCATCAGAGTTAATATACAAAAAGTGACACATGCGATAAATATTCATAAATAGCTCATCCTAAATCTGCAACATGTGTTACAAGTATTAAAAAGAAATGAAGGCTAAACAGATATTCATATGCCCTAAAGGCTTACACCTTTCTAAGTCACTGCTTGGTTACAACAAAAATGAGTCTCGCTTAACACAATTTAAAGCCCTTAGCTATACAAAATAAATACAACAAAAGAGAAGCTTTCAGCTCTAATTCCTCCCAAGCTATTGCCTTGGCAGAGGCATATCACCAACACCCGAAAATGATTTTCCCAAATCGGGCGATCCAAAACCCAGTAGAAACAATCCATCACAATATATGAATCTTAACAAAGATATAATTATGAAGTGCATATGCAATGCCTGTGATTTAAAATCATTTACAACTCTTTTTCCAAAACCATGTTGTGATAAGCCTCATATCTCAATTCATTAATCATGTCCATTTCATTCAATCAACCAAACTGAGTGTACTACTCAGTGGATCTCTAAACAATATAGTTATTATACGAACACATCCATTTTTCCATTTTACGAAAGTTTCATCCGCGAGAATTGGCACCTATGTATATGCGCGGTTTTCAGGACTTTCACTGTAGACACACAGACCAACTTAATTTACTAGAGTCCATTCCTTTTCTTCTCCCAAACATGGAGTAAATCCCATTTCTCCTCCCAAACATCATACAATGCCTGTGATTTAAAATCATTTACAACTCTTTTTCCAAAACCATGTTGTGATAAGCCTCATATCTCAATTCATTAATCATGTCCATTTCATTCAATCAACCAAACTGAGTGTACTACTCAGTGGATCTCTAAACAATATAGTTATTATACGAACACATCTATTTTTCCATTTTACGAAAATTTCATCCGCGAGAATTGGCACCTATGTATATGCGCGATTTTCAGGACTTTCACCGTAGACACACAGACCAACTTAATTTACTAGAGTCCATTCCTTTTCTTCTCCCAAACATGGAGTAAATCTCATTTCTCTTCCCAAACTGTAATAACCCTCGCTATTGCTTACCGATAAACACTGATTACCGTTAAACTGAACTGATCATGACTGATAATTGAACTGACTGACCGAAATTGAAACTGAATCGAATGAATACATCTGTTTGAATTGCATTTTATCTGTTGACTGTTTGTTTGATCTGTTCATGTCTTATGTTTAAACTGCTCATTGAAGGCCTTCCCGGCGGCCGAATTAGAAACCGATTGGTGTTTTATGATCGTCATAATTAATGTGATTTTATGGTATAATTATTTGGAAACTAATTAGGTGTGATTAAGTTAGATTAAATATTGATAAATACAGAGTTGGCCTTAATTACAACCTTGCCCTTGAGTGGGCCACTACCTATACACTTTTGAGGTCATCATACTTGAGCCAAAAACGTTTTCCTTAGCCTTCTTCCTTGCCTTGCCGACTAGAGAGAGACTAGAGGAGAGAATTGAGTTCATTTTGTTGAATTGGCTTGAATTGCTTGGTGAATTGCTTGTTAATTGAAGTGTGGATTGCTAAATTGAACCTCTAGACTGGCATTCAAGGAACTTAGGTATGAATTTCACCTTATCATTCTTGTGTTTGAACTAATTCTTGCATGATCCATGTTAAATTGTAGAGCTAAGTCATGTTAGTTCATACATGTTGATATAGAGCATAATTCATGCTTGCATGTGTTCTTGGTTGAATTTGGAGTTGAGTTCATGGCAAAATGGTGCATGCATGTCCATAATATTGTAATGGTCCATGTTTTCAACTTGTTTTTAGATCAATTGGCTCCTTAGAGCATCAAATTGAGCTTCAAAGTTGTTTAAAATTCATGCATGTTTGCATGTTCATATTGTTCATGAAATTGGTTTAAAATTGGGTTTGAATTAAACACCCTTGGGCTTTGATTTCTCAAATTGAGTTTTGAATCATGTTATTCCATGTGTTTACAAGTGTTTTTCCAGAAATTAGCCCAAGAGGATCGGTTTTGATGCTTTTGAACTTGAGTTGGAGCTTGGAGGTGCAATCTGGGATTTCCAGATTTTGCACTCCCGCTCGAGCGGAGATAGAGACGCTCGAGCATGGAATTCGAGCATGCAGCATCTCTGCATTGTTTTACAGTCCGCTCGAGTGGAGGATTGGGTGCTCGAGCGGAATCATGTGTCTCAAGCTCGAGCGGGCGTCGAGCGTCCGTCGAGTGGAGATTCCACCCATCCAGCACTTTTGACTGTTTTTGCAGCACGCTCGAGCGGGTACCTTTGTCTGTATGTCCGCTCGAGCGGAGTGACCTACGCTCGAGCGTGACCCCTGTTTTCCGAAAATTCTGAAATTGCTTTTTGAGTACATCTTTGCATCCTCATCCCATTCTAGGCATTCTTAGGCCTAGTTTAAGGCATCTTGTTGAGGATATAGATGTAGAACACACCGAGGCATTAGGGGTTAAGTTACTATCTTTCCCAGCTGTGTAGTTCCCAACTGTGTAGCTTAGTGTGTGTTCAATCTGTTAACTGTGTAGGGTTGGCGACTGGGGAAACACGCTCTAGCGCACTGTAGCCCAAACTCTGTGAGTAACAATTGTGTAAAGATATGTTCAACTGAGAATGTTTTCTGACTGTTTAACGAAACTGTTTTCTGAAGTAATTATTGTTAACTGTTTGAATGTATGTCCTAAATTCTGAAATGTATTGTGGCATCCTTAGCAACTGTTGTACACTGTCACTGCTACTGTTACAGAGATCTCTGTCGGTTCCCTTGTGGAACCACTACTGTTTACTGATTGATGGCCATCATTACTGTTCGGTCTTTACGACCTACTGTTTACTGCTATGCTAATGGATGTACCACATATGACTGAATAACTGTTCTGACTGAAAGACTGAAGTATTGTTTAATGAACTGCTTTCATTACTGTAAGGACATTTCATTCTTAACCTCTTTACGCATTATGTTATTCACTGGGCTTTAGCTCACTGTTTGTATATATATATATATGTAGGTTCTCAGCCACCAGATCGGAGCTAGGAGCGTGGGTTAGACTCCAGTTTTGTCAAGCCAGCCCTTGTGCCTCACTGCGAGGTTCCGAGTTGCCATGCTATGGCTTTGGGGTGTTTTGTTTCTCCCCCGTCTGTCTCCATACTATTTGGATTACTGTATAGACTGTCAGCTACTAACTGTACTGTTATCAAGGGATTAGGTCCCTGTATTGTGTGACTGTAAATTTTGTGTAGACTGTACTATTTGTATGTATGAATGCATGAAAAATCTTTTGGCATACAGACTATCACAGCTCAGTGGACATTATTTAATTACTGTTTTGGCTTCCGCCAGGCCCTGTACTCTGTTTTACTGTACTACTGTTTAGCAGGCCTTCGGTAATCTCGGATTACTGGCCGGTTACGGTGCTAAACCCATAGGGCCGGGTTTGGGTCGTGACACAAACATCATACATATACAATGTATTAAAATACAGCCATGTTCAATGACAACCGATAAGAGATTCGCTTCAATTTACCTAATCTCCATGCAATTTCTACAACAATTATAGCTATCCTCTATCGATAGCTCAAAATAAATATTTCTAAACAAACATATAATCTCTACGACAGATAAATGATCCAAATTTCCATAGGTAAGAGGTAATACATTTCTAATTCCACCCAGGGACAGATCCAGGATTATGACTTGGGGGGCCAAAGTACGTTTAACCTCTAACCAATAAAATTTGAAGTTCAATACCAATTTCTACTAACATGAAAAAAATCAATAATGTTATGATAAAATATTGAACTATGTATTCCTTGTCAACATACTTGAGTACCAAAAGATGATCATACAATTGAGAATATTTTTTTGCCCATATTCTCTTACAAAAAGTAGTAACTATTTCTAAATGCATTTATTTACTAAAATTAGGCATCTTCAATTGAGCTCGACACTCTTAATATCAAAAGCATGGATGATAGAGTCTACATCAACTCTCGAGCAATGTCTTTTTCAATGTACGTAATCAAGTAACTAGCCAGAAAACCATCTTTCATCCTATTGCGCAATTTAGACTTAACGAGTTTCATAGCTGAAAATGCATGTTCCGATGTAGCAGTTGAAACATGTAAAGTCAACACAAGACGGATCAATCTATCAATAAGAGGTTAACTTGTCGACTTTTTTGTTTTTGCCAACATTTGACACAACTCAGAAATGGTTGACAGCTTTTGAAACTCGGAAAGTATGGAAATATCAAGCTTATAGTTTTCCAACTAATACTTCAAATGCAATTTTTCTTGCTCAGAAAAATCCATGGGATAAAATTTATTTGCAAGTTTGCAAATATCATCAATGTTGAATGATCTATAACCATCCCTAGGATCCAAAGCTGAGCTAAGAACAAGCAATTCCATTACATCTTCCTTAAACCTATTGTTTAATTCTTGTAACTGGGAATCAACTGTAACCATAAAAATATCAACTCGAAAATGTTGTTCCATGGTGAGCTGATCTCTTTCAAAACGAGACCGACCTCGGCCTCCTTTATAAGGACAACTCATATCAGGAATCTACATACCATGATCATTAGAAAATAATTTAATTTTCTCCAACAATGGAACCCATCCATCTTCTCTAAATTTTTGAATAAGTATCTTCGTTTTAGACACCAAATGCATTGCATTTAATATATCTTGAGATTTACTTTGCAAAGCTTGGAAAATATCATCAGTAATCTCCATGATATCCCTCATAAGATGTAAGATGAAGACAAACTCAAACGATGTAATGGAATCATAAACTCCATCTGCCTCAGCTCGTTGATTCGATTTGCTTCCATCATTAATTATGTTTCTTAGGACTGCACAAGTAGCACTGAACATGTTTATCAAACTACAAATGGAACCCAAAGGAGAACCCCATCGAGTATCTCCAGCCCGTTTCAATGTTCCAATCTGATTTTTTTCCTTTAACAATCTCGAATTCATCATCAATGGCAACCTTTTCAGCAATATCTGCAGCCTGAGCAGCTCTTAATTGATCATGTCTTTTGCAAGATGAGCCAACTATATTAATTGCTCGAGTCAAGTAAGAGAAAAATTGATTGATAGATATAACATGTTTAGATGCTCATATTAAAGTCAATTGGAGCCGATGAGCAAGGTAATGAACATGATATGCAAATGGACACTCAACACAAAATAGAGCCTGAAACCCAGTCCATTCTCCAGACATGTTACTGGCACCATCATATCCCTAACCACGAATATTTTGCACACTAAGGTTATGACGAGAAAGGACAATACAAATTTCTTCTTTCAAAGTTGCCGACGTGGTATCTAACACATAAACTATGTCAAAGAAACGCTCTTTTATAAAACCATATTTATCGACAAATCTCAAAACAATTTCCATTTGCTCTCTTTTCGATTCATCTTCAGATTCATCAACTAGAATGCAAAAATTCCCATCATTAATCTCCTCATGAATGAATTTTTGTATCTTATCAGAGAAAATACTAAGAATCTGCTTTTGAATCCCATAGGAATGATAGGAAGCATTTTGAGGAGCATTTTCCAAAACCACTGCTGCCACATCCTCATTATAAGAAGCCAAGAGCTTTATCACCTCAATAACATTCCCTCGGTTGTTAGATTCGTGGCGTTCATCACGACCTCTAAAAACGTATGCTTGGAATGTTAACCATTTAATCACATCTATCGAGGTCTTCAATCGCAAACGATTTCTAGCAATTTGTATGGAAGTTTGTTTTTCAACAATTGCCTCAATATGTTGCGCTTGATTTGTTAAATCACAACAACATTTGACGACAGCTCTATACGATGAGTTAGGATCCTTGCCCATATGCGATAACAAAGGACAATTCTTCCCTTCATTGACTTTCTTCCAAGAAGAAAATCACTCAACTGTAAAAGCACTAGATCCAGGGCGTCCAGTTGGCTTAGTAAAAAGAAAACATAGAAGGCAAAACGCACGATTTTTTGTTGGAGAGTATTCCAACCAATTCGGAAATAACTTGTACCAAGAATCTAAAAAATGACGCCCATTCTTATCAGTTTCAAAAGGTTGATTGTTCGGAGCCTTGGGTTTATATGGCCCGAATTTGATATAAGCACGTTGTAGACCGCCCCGAACACGCTTCTTGCGTAAGGGCATGAATTGGGTTCTTAGCTACTACAGTTCGGACTCCTGTCACAGCTCTAAATCTAATCTTACAAATTGCAGTGTAAGACTGATAAATCACCAAAGAGTCCAAATCCGGTAAATCATTTTGGAAAATCGATTTTAGTAAAAAAAGGCCAAACATGGACTACTTTGCCAGATTTCAGAGTCGCCACCTAAATATTTTATTTTGAAAAATTTAGGAAACCCTAACTCGTGCCTAAGGCCACGTGTCGGTCATCAGCAAAGTTGTCTCGGCTCGGGAACTTGGGTACGAGGGGGGGAAGGTCATGAAATGAGCACCCCCGCTCACCCGATCAAAGGATCGTTCTCTACTAAACATGATATGTTATTTTGAAAATACATGTGTTCTTATTCCGGTTTATTAGCTGACCTTACTATGTGATGCGCACAACATACAAGTATAGACTCAATCACGCGGATTTCAACAAAACAACTCATGTTTGTTTTTTAAAGTGTTACTCGCAAGTAGGCTAAAGCGCGGATTTGCCACCCTCAAGTGGGCTTAGAAAAATATGATTTTGCCACTGCAAGTGGGCCTAAAACTCACAATCATCGAGTTGTTCCAATTCAGGCAATCAAGCATTCATCCACAGGCATTCATACAGTTTATCAAATAAGCACATAGCCTTATGGCAAGCATGCTATCATGGCAACACTCACACTCATGCAAGGATGCTAAAGCATAAACACTTACAGTGTACTCTGAGCCAAAATAGAAAACTAGTTAGAAATATGCATGAATCCTAACTATGTTAAATGCCTAATGTAACACATGCAAAATGCAACTAAATAGGCTCGGCTATCTAATCATGGCATATGAATGCAACACTTGATACATGTATTCAAATAGTAATTGAAATAAAATGCAGCTTGAATGATGCACTGAGCCTGGTGCATGCAATACGAATAAATGATGCACGCATGCAAAGCATAAATATGCTAATTGAAACATGCCCTAAAACTAACCATCAAAAGCTGGTAAATAAAAGGGAGAAAGATGTGGGGTTGGAAGACATTCACACACACACGCACACTTATTACAACATTTGCCCTCTCAACGAAGGGTCCGAATGAAAGAGAGCTAACTAGCTACGTTAATTAAGTTAACTATTACAAATCACAACTAATTAACTAATTAGTTAACTAATTACAAACACAAATGAATAGCTAAACGCATTAACTATCTAAGTGTAGAATCGACAAGTTAACCATCTAAGCAAAACAGTTAAAAGGAGCCTCAGAGCGAGGAATGCGTGCATGCTCGGTTGCTTCTTCCCGAAATCCCGTTGCCTTGCCACCGGTCGCCTTTGTTTGCATTTGCTTTGATTCTGAACACCAAACAAATCTTCAGGTTGTTTCTGCTCCAGAACCAGAAGAACTTTGAACCATCCTCAAGCTGGTGGACTGTCGGTCACCAGGGGAGGCTGTAGGCCACTTGTCGGCCACTTAAGGAGGCTGTAGGCCACTTCCTCTGGCCGATCAGCCAGTTGTTTCTGCACACTTCCATTTTGCTACAAACAGAGTTCAACAAGGGCAAAGCAAGGCATTTGCAGGGTATGTGTGTACAACCACCCTCCTTATCATTTCTCAAGCTCAAAGGAGTGTGGTGTTCGACTCTTGGGCCATCAATCTAGCATCGCAATGCACGATGGCCGAGAAGCCAAGTTTATACAAGTTCATGAATGCACAAGTAACACACAAGACACAAGAGGCCTCCACCCTATCATGCACAATCAAAGGGGACGGCGACTAAGAAATGAGGCACATTTCATCACTTCAAGTATGAAACGTCCCTCATTTCTCGTGTTCAGATTAACGTCCGATCCAAACACATGCAATGCATCACACATGCAAACAACATGCTTATCTATCAATGCTAAAGTGTCATGCACAAGGCTCTATCATATAAGCAATGCATGCATGGCATGTTTAGAAGCTAAGGCATCAAAGCTAGTGAAATGTATTACATACGAGGCATGCACTACAATGCTCAAATGGTCAAACCAACTATGGACAGACCTATACCATGCCAAAACAGAGTTATGCCATGCTAAAATAAGACCAAAAATGAGCTGAGAACAAGCCAACACATGCTAGAAAAACATGCTCACTTATTAGGCCAACAAGGCATGGAACCAAGAAGCAAGAAGGGGAGGCCACCCCCTCCTATTTTAGACCTCAAAATATGGTTTCTACCACTAAAATTCCTCTGAGTTTCAGTGGTAGAAAGGCCAAACAAAGGGTGCCTCCAAGGCTTTAAAAGAAGGCACCAACCTCAAGCAAATAAGGCACACAAGAGGGTTAAACACCCCCAACACCAAAGAAGCCTTAAACAACCATTTTTAACACTTTAAAACAAAGGTTTTTGTAGTTGCAAGTTAGGCCTAAAATAGCACGCAAAGAGGGCTAAATATGCAATGAAAATAAAGCTTTAAAGAGGCTAAAGGGATTACCTTTGAAGCACAGCCACAACAGCAACTTCTTGAGTCAAAAACCAGCCTTTGAGCTCCAAACAAGACCTCCAAATATCTCAGCAACAAAGTAGGAGTGTTTGGAGAATAGGTTGTTTTCAAATATGCAAAGAAAATGCAATTCTAGACACAATAGAGCACAATAATATATATATAGAGAAAAATCTAGAGAGAGAGTAGATATTTTGCTTCTTAAAATTTCTGAACCCTTGAAAGGGAGAGAGAGCTCCCCTTATATAGAAGAAGCAAGCATAAGCTTGCTTGACAAGCTAAAAACTTGTTTCAATCCCTCCATACACGTGTATGGAAGATGCCTTCTGTGCCCAACAGCTGGCACAACTGGCAATAAAAATATCTGCAAAAATAGAAAAATGGTGGTAGGCCACTTCAACTAGCCTACCGGCCACTTAAAGTGGCCTACAAGAGGAAAAAGTAGCCTACAGCCACCAAAAGTGGCCGACAAGCCCCCCTTCCCTCTAGGCAAGGGATAACAAGGTATGGTCCAAAAACAAACCAAAAAGAAGAGAGCTAAGAGGCCACAAGACAAGGCACTCAGCCGGAAGCCCTGAGAACTAGCTTACGGGCTGCTACAAGTGGCCTACAAGAGGAAAAAGTAAGCTACAGCTACAAAAAGTGGCCTACAGGCCTCTCTCTTTCTCTCCTGGCAAAGGCACCAAGGCATGGTCCAAAAACAAGGCCAAAAAGAAAAGAGTTAAGAGGTCCCGAGACAAGGCGCTCAGCTGAAACCCCCGGAAACTCATAACAAGCACAAACATGCGCAATCATCGCGTGCACAAATGATGACGTCTGAGTCTTAAGGTCGATCAAAAATGGGATGTTTACACACATCTGATCTCATCACGTTCAGATACCGGGTAATCCCATATTTGTTGATGTAACCCCGGATCCCTGACCAAAGAAGATGTATCAACATCTTTAGATTCGACTCTTGGAAGTTTAGAAGGACGTTGTTCCAGAGGAGTCGAAGTTTCAACATTATTGGTGGAACTTTGAACGATAGTTTCAGAACCTCTTTTCTTCAAAAATGAATCAATTTTTTTGTTCGCCATGATTAACTTAACGATTGTACCTGAATCACAAACTAGCAAACAATTGGACCACCCATATTTAAATTTACAGAACACCCTTTATTGGAAACAAACATACATAAAAAAAATCTCCTTGACTCTCAATCAATCTCAGACTAGAAGGATTAAAACTTCAATCAACATACATAAATATGAAAACAATCACCTCAAATAAGCCTATTAATTCTTAGACATAAATAATAATTGTATTTGAATAAAAAA